CTGCAGCTTCCAGATTTGCAACAAGGGCAGCCCCATGTAGAGGGCATTGCAGTAATCCAGTCTCGAGGTGACCATCGCATGGATCATTTCTCTCCAGTGGGGACCCAAAGCAGCTTACATCATCCTCCCTTCATCCATTTCTTCCCTCACAACACCCTGTGAGGCAGATTAGGCTGAAAGAGAGTAACTGGCCTATGGTCACCCAGCAAAGCTTCCATGGTCTCCCAGATCCTAGTCTGATACTCCATCCCACCACACTGGCTCTCAGCTTTCCTCTCTTCCCTCCCTGTGGCAGCCTCTCCCTAGGAAAACTTTGGTTAAGTCGCAGAAGTCATGAGGTAGCAAGTTGCTGAGGTGAGTTGTGTGGTGGTTACGTCGTGCAAGTTGTGTGGAGGCTGGTTGCTAGATCTAGTTGAGTTGTGTAGCATGAAGTCATCTGGCAGCCACTGTCAGACCTGGGTGAGCTGTGCAAATCGCATGGTAGCAAGTTGCCTGGTTGGTGCTGGGCCTAGTTCCCATGAGTCCTAGGGTTGCCAAGTCCTACCTGTCGCGGCAGCGGGGGACTCCCGGCTCGCTCCTGGAGTGCGCGCACGTGCCGCAACCACGTCACCCGGAAGTGACGCGACCACACCGGGCACGCTGGGGGTGGGGCCACGACCATCCGAGGGGAAACCATAGAATTTCCCTCAGATGACCGTGGCCCCGCCCCCAGCGTGCCCGGTGTGGTCGCGTCACTTCCGGGTGATGTGGACGTTGCGTACTTTCTTTGGGAGGTGGGGTCCCCCCCAGGGCCCAATCCACCGGTGGCAGGGAACGGGCCACTGGGGCAGGGGTTTCCCCGCCCCCCCGGGGGGACTTGGCAAGCCTAATGAGTCCTCCCTCCTGTGCAGGGTGGAGAGGAGCAGGGATGAACTGAGAGCCCAAAACAGTCCTGGAAAGGACCCTTCCCCATGCCTTTTACTGACAGAAACCAAGGTTGGAATCCTAACTATACTGTTGTGGTTGCCTAGCAACCCCCACAGTGGCCACTGAGATCTCAGAGTTCATTCATTACTTAAACATACGGGTGCTGTTTCTTTTATTTCAGAGGGGTTTTTTGGCCCGCAATCTATGTATTTCCAGGTCTCAGATTTTCCTGCACACCTGGGGCTTTCCCCAACTTGCATAAAGATCTGTCTTGTCTGTTCATGACTCCAGTCTCTGGATCTCAGATGGGGCCATGCTGAGACTTAGATATGTTGATAGGGAGCATGTCTGGCTGAGAGTTCAGGCTAATAATCAGGTAAATAAACAGAGCCACTAGACAGCATTTCAGTGTGGAAGGAATGTTTTCAAGTGGAGCAGCATCCCATCACGCGAGCCCAGCCTACAGTCTGAAACGGCCCAGCCCAGACACGTGTTTGTGGAGAATGTGGGGTCCTGAGGGTCAAAGGCTCTGCGAGATCTGCACAAGGCCCGTGCCCACCTTGCGTCATCTGTGTTCCCCTGCTGAGTTTGAGGAGAGAGCTTTAGGGGGGGTTAGGAGGACTGCTACTTATGCCTTACGAGTGTATGACGATTAGGACTGACCGTTCCATTGCACTAGCCCTGAGGCTCTTGCCCTCGATCTTCCCAGTCCTTACTCCTAGGATTGGGTCATTGGGAACCTCGGCATGCCCCCAAAGTGTTCGAGGCACTGGGCAGAGGGGCAGAGGAGGCCAACGCCCTTTGAGCTGTGTTCATGATAAGCCCTGCAGAATTCCATTTAAATATCTGGCTCCTGCTTTAGTAATTGGTAATTTGTAAACAGGGGGGGAAAGGGCCAAGTTTGCTAAGAGGATTTTGCAAGCTTGGCTTGAATTAATAAACCCTGGAGGAATTGTGATTACAGGTGAGGGTGTGGCCAGGTTAATTTGGGGAAGAACGCCTTCTTACTAATTGCGTTCCTAAAGTATAAAATGACATCTGTGTTAGCAGCACACAGACTGGCAGATCCAACTTCTTTTGGTGTAGTGGTCACGAGCTCAGGCTCCCGCCTGGGAGAACCAGGTTTTATTCCCTACTCATCCACATACAGCCAGCTGGGTCAGTCATAAGTTCTCTCAGAGCTGCAGTCCTCGAAAGAGCTCTCTCAGCCCCACCTACCTTGCAGGGTGTCCGTTGTGGGGAAAGGAGATTGTAAACCGCTCTGAGACTCCTTTGGGTAGTGAAGGGTGGGGTAAAAACCCAGTTTCTTCTTCTTCTTCTTTTCTGCCACTGAGTAGACTCTAATCTGGGAGAACTGGTTTTGAGTCCCCATTCTCCCTCCACATGCAGCCGCTGGTGTGACCTTGGGTCAGTCACAATTCCCTCAGAGCTGTCCTCTCAAGGCATCCGCCAACACCTTCCCTGGTGCCCGCCAAGTGGTTTTAGAAAGTGGGCGGGGCTAGGTGGTGCTTTTGCCCTGCAGGGCTTCTGATTGGCTGTGCAGATTGCAAGGTGTCCCGTGAAACACAGCCTCTGCCTGAAATGCCAGAGAGTCGTTGTTCTGCTTGTGCATGACCTCACTCCCTGACATTTTGCGGTCGGCTCCATCTTCTGTGGCAGCTGTCTTGTGTTTGGCTGCACCTCACGTGGCAGCCATTTTGTGATTGCGCCCACCGCCTTGCGTCAGAATTCCAGACGTTCCCATCGGGGAAACATTCTCATGCCACAGTTCACGAGGGCCCTGACAGGAAATCCCACCGGCCTCCCAGGTCTCCTCCCAGCAATAATCTTCGCTGCAGGACTTGAGAGCTGGGCCTCTGGCTCCACCGAGTGGTGGCCACGGAGGGCGCAGCGGATGGTTGAATATTGCGCCCCTCATCCCTTCCTTTTGGCATTCCAGGGCTCTGCTTATTTTTTCCCCCTTTACAAATTAACTTTAGAACTTAACTCTCTTGTCACGTCTGTTTGAATCAGTGCATCAGATGCCTTCCATGGAAAAAGTGATTCGGATGAGAATATCTCTCCAAGCTCTTCCCAGCTGGGTGTTTTCTTTCCCCCCTGAACTGAGTTCTCTCTGGCAAAGTGGTTTGCTCAGGGCCATTTCCAGCTTCTCGGTGGCTCTGGGCACATGGTGCCCAAAGTCACCCAAAAGCTGGAAAAGGCCCTGGACCAACCACTTTGCCAGACAGGTGTCCAGGGGCCAGACGAATCCCCAGGGCCTCCTGACAGCACTGGCCAAAGTATGCAGCTGAGAGAGCTGCTACCATGGTCTACCACAGGAGGAGCGCCGCTGCTACCAGAGTTGGGTATGGTTAGCCTGGGAAAGAGAAGGCTCAGAGGGGATATGGTTGCAGTCTCCAAGTATCTGAAGGGCTGCCGTGTAGAAGATGGAGCGGATCTATTCTCTCTTGCTCCGGATTGCAAGACCAGATCTAATGGGTGGGAATTACAAGGGAGTTGATACCGGCTAAATATCAGGAGAGACTTCCTGACTGTAAGGGTGGTTGAGCAGTGGAACAGACTGCCTGGGGAGGTGTTGGATGCTCCTTCGCTGGACGTTTTCAAGCGGAGGATGGACAACCATCTTTCGGGTAGGTTGTAGGGCTATCTTCGGCTGTGCTCCTGCAGAGTGCAGGGGGTTGGACTAGATGACCTGCAAGGTCCCTTCCAGCTCTAACGTTCTATGAAATCTCTGAAATGCTACTCTGTGTCCAATGCAGATGCAACAG